ATATTGCTGATATTACTTGATAGCCCAGCTATATAAGACCAGACATGTTGACGAGGTGACCCACGTGTGATACTAACTCCATCAATATAAGCATCATTGATATCTTTGTTAATGCTTACAACTCCATTAGGCCTTCCCTTTTGATATCCAACCACTTTACCACATATTTGACTATAACTGATACCATTTGTTTGGAATACATTAGACCTACAACCACCATAACTATTCTCTCTCCTACAAAGTCTAATCCCTCCAGTCATCAATTGCTGAAGCCCAGAAGGACAGTTCTGTGACATGTCATTCATATCAAGATAAGCTATTCTTGTCCATCCTCCATCTTGTCCACACAGCTCTCCCATATTGCAGTATATTTTGCGACTGTTAACATAATAGTAACCAGAAGAACTGTTAAGATGAGCTGTTTTAATATCTTTACAAGAAACAGTTTGAGTAGAGGATCCATTCTGTATCTCTAGTAATTCATTGACTATTAGTAGTACATCATTAACAGCAGCAGCAGTTGGTATACTGATATCTTTAATAAGACTAGTGTTCAGTAATTGAAGTAGTTCATCTGTAGACCTGTTGGTATTATTAGCATGTACCATAATCTGTTGTATTATGTTATTCATTGTATCCTGTATCAGTGACAGGTTACTGTTAATAGCAGTATTACCACTATTAGTGAGGCCAGCATTGTTGCTGCTTGCGGCATCTTTTGATATTAAGTTAAGTACAAGTATAGCTACCAATAGGAATATTATGATCACCAGTAGAATTATTATTGCAGCAAATGACTTCTTTCCTACAGTATACTGCACTGGTTGTTGAGGAGGTTTGGTATTCTTAACATTAGCTTTTGGTAGCTGATAATCTAATGAATATATCATACATTAGTTTTAATAATAAATTACTTGTATGGTATATACCTGAGTAGTCATGAAGATCTGAGTATACTGCTTCTTCAGTACTAGTATCAGTCTTTACTACTGGTTCATAGGCTGTGTTTTGTGTTAGCTTCATTTCTTCATTGAAATCCTTAACTTCACTTTGAAAGCTTGTTGACATTGTCTTGTTTTCCATTTCTTTGTAGTGACTGAGAAGGAAAGGTAAAAAGAGGTCTCACAAGAATCAACGAACGATTTTATCAATAAGTTAAAAACTTCTTAAAACTGAAGAAGCACTCACTTAAATCAAGAGTACATACTCTTGCTTAAATATATCACAGAAACATCTTGCATAACATTACATAACACTAAAAAGAAATCAACATTGCATACATTATCTTACCTTACATAATAAGTGAAAATAAGTACAGAAAATAATAATCAGGAAAAATCATAATAATAATAATACAATAAGTGCCTAGGAAAATAATTGTAGTTAAGCTTACATTAACATCATCAGCTATAACACTCTTCACTAGCACTGCTTATGGTTATCTACAGCTCTATTTAATTTATTTGAGTTTATATTAGCACTGCAACATTATCTCTGTTATCTGCAATGT